TATTTTAGTGATGTGATGCTTCATATACTTTTATATAACAATGGTAATACAAAATTCCCAATTATATTTTTCATTACTTCCAATGTATTTGAAGCCATTTTATTTTTCCCTGTTGGTATTTTTGGATCTTTCATAAACTGTTTCTTTCAAGAATCTTGTTCATATGAAATCTGCTTGTTTCATTTTATTTAGTATGAAAGTATTACCTTTTCTGTATTTTTTAATTATAATTATCCTGATACTAAAAATCAAGTTAAGAATTCTTGTTATTTCATTCTTTCCCATGGGTTTAATAATCTCTATAAATCGAATGTTATTTTTTAAATTTCATTTTAATATTAAAATGTAATTTAAATTACCTTCATCAATGATGCTTTCAACATTCAAGTCAATAAAAAGTGAACTTATAAGTTACGTATAGATTACTTTTAAAATTAGGATTTTTAGTATTTATATTATTTTGAAAATTTATATATTATAAAATTTCTAAACGTACTAACATAAGTACATTTCGATACCAAATTAATTTATTAAAAAAATAGCATAAATTATAAAAAATATAACAAGTTCTAACATGAAAAAAGATGAAAATGGACTTAGGTCACTTCCAAAATAATACTTAATTAAACGGCTCAAATTCTATAGAAGGTAGGAAAATTTTAATAACATATTTCTTAAAAAAATATTTTACCTTTGGGTGGAATATGTTCAATATGTTGTAGTTCACACAGATCTCAACAGATTGATCTACACACATTATAAATGTATCGAGGGGGTTAAAAACTTTGGATTTAAAAAAGTGAAAGGGATAATTTGGGATAATGGTAGGGGTAAACAACCGGTGAAAATTTAAACTTGTATGCATTTTTTAATTCGCCATTATGAAAATTTAAATTAAAAGAAAATTGATTTTAAAATTTAGAAAAAGTTTCATGTAATTTTTATTTTGGAACAAAAAAAAAATAAGAAAATTGGTCCCAAAATTTAAAAAAAAATTAGGGCTGGACAACCCTTAATAACAGTAAATAGTAAATAGTGTTTTGAAGTAAAAAAAAAGAGTGCGCGTAAGGATCACACGCAATTGAAGTAATACTTTTGTTATTGTATGAGTAGGCAATTAAGATAAAAATAAAAAAAAACATCATATTTGGGTTTAAAAAATCATTTATTAATAATGATATAACATTAATAACACCGTTTGAAACGACAGCAATAGGTTAACTTTTGTCATATTTCATATATGATATCATATCTATATAGAATAGATTTTGCTTTATAAACTTTGTAAATTTCTGGAGAAAACTGCATCAATAGTCGTACCATATCTTGTTGTTGATTCAAATGGAGAATTATTCATTGTTAAATTAAATTTATCACCTAAAAATCAATTAATGGTCGAGATTCTTCTGAACGAAAATTGACATTGAAATCTCCAGCAAGAATTAAAGGTATCTCGTGGTGATAATTTTTTAATATTCGAGAAATTTTTCGTTGGGTTTTATTGGGAGAAATGTAAAAGTAAACTATAATAATTATTGTTTGATTATATATGTTCACACAGTGGACAGCTGCAATATTACCTAGTTGTGTAATTTCATTAGGAATATCCAGCAACATAGTTGGCTCTGCTTTTCGACCTGATTATTTGAATCAATATTCAGAAAACCATTATTAAGAATTTGTTTTCGTTTTGCTAATTTTATGTTTTCTCGGCGTTTCAAGCCAGTCTGAATCGAATGAGACCAAATTTGGAAAAAATATGTGTGTGTGTGTATGAACAGATTTTTTGTCGTAAACCGCCGTTTTCTCAAAAACGGCTGGACCGAATTCAAAAATTTAAAAGCCATTAGATATATATCGATGAAGGCTAGCGTTTCTCAGTTTTGTGCGACGATCGGCATAGCCGTTTCTTTGTAAATCGTAGAAAAGTGAAAAAAATTTCGTCCACGTTTTAGCCCGCAATTTTGAATCGATTTCGAAAATTCAAAAACTGTTCGTAAGATATTGGTTGGGAATCAACCTGATTAGTTTTTGGTGAAGATCGGCCGAGCGGTTTTCTTGTAAGTGTTAAAAAAATGTTTTTCGATGATTTTTAGGAATTCTTTTTAATGTTAGATACCATATTCTTATAGATCATACTAAAATATTACGGCCCTACGGCAAGCCATTTAATTTTAAAAATTCGCCAAAGTTTGCAAAAATTACTATCGTTTTTTTGACGTTTGTCAAAATTAGAACTTTCATCGACGTTTGCTCAGAAATTCCTAAATCGATTTCTAAAATTTAAAAGCTATTTGATTTATGTCGATGAGGATTATCGTTTATCAGTTTTGTGTAACGATCTGACGAACCGTTTCTTTGTAATTTGGAAAGAAGTGTAAAACTTTTCGTCCACGTTTAAGCGAATACTACCGAATCTATTTTAAAAAATCAAAAACTGTTCGAAAGATATTAGTTGGGAATAATACTTTTTAGGTGAAAATCTACCGAGCCGTTTTCTTGTAATGAACTGTTGAAAAATAAAATTTGGCCGATTTTTATGGAACTTTTTTTGGCGATATAAATCATTGTCTTGTAGAACTTACTGAAATAGTACGCCCTTACGACAAGTAGTTTAATTTTAAAAATTTATCAAAGTTTGAGAAAATGAGTAGTTTTTTTGACGTTTGTTAAAATTAAAATTAGACGATTTTCTTGGTATAACGACATAGTACTTGGTCTTAATGAACATATTAAACGATTAAAGTCCTACGGAAACTGGTTCAATTATAAAAATTATTGATTTTTGAAAATTTGCTTTTAAAAAATACTTCGAGTTAACGTGTTCGTTCGTTCGTTTTTAATCATGTGTGAGAAATTTACTCGGAATACTTATAATCATTCATAAATTAATTTTTTTACTAAGTCGATTATTTACACAATTCGGGAAGTTCATGTAATTTGCCTCAAGGCAAAATACCAAACCAAGTAGTTTTAAATCTGTTCTAATATACTTTAAACAAATAATTTCAACTTTGCAATTCAGTTTATTAAATTCATATAAATATTAGACAATGTTACAATATTTATAAAAAAATATTTGAAAACATTTAATATTTCTCGATCATATCGTCATGGTAAGAGAAGTTTCAGCAATTTGCGTTAAGGCACGATGCCATGCAACATGCAACACTAGTTTTGTTTTAAATTTTGTCACTTTGGAACGTATCCCTTATAACACCATATAAAATGCTATCTTGTATTTGCGGGTTTTTTATTAATTGCAGATTATTTTGTCATCATGGAATATGGATAAATGCGATCCTGTATTTGCGGATTCTTTATTCGCGCCTTTTTATGGAATATTCCTGTATACACAGGACCGGATTTAGAAATTTGGCGCCCTGGGGCACTGACAAATATGCCGTCCCATCCTTGAAATTTTACTTAAATTGTTTTTATATATTATTCTCGAACCAAAAATTAAAACTAAAAAAAAAACTTAAAAAAAATCAATATTTGAAAATTTTGAGTTTGTTTTTATATTTTGAAATATTTTTGAAATTTTGAACTTTTATTAAAGCAATTGCGCTGATTCAGCAGCGTAGAGACAAAATATAGATGCGCGTAAGCGTCGCGTCGCAGTCTAACACAACCCATGGGTTACAGAACCCATAGAAATGTAAACAAAATTTTACTTTATTATTAAAATATCTATACATACTTTATTATTAAACTATCTATAAAATACCTGATAATTTGATGTTCATATGTCTAATGATCACTTTTGACCGCTAAATGTTTTATTTTCATTTTTTTATTGGGTCACCGAAACCCATAGACCTGCCGCCTCCCACAAATTTAAGCAGTTCTTCATTTTGTCAATATGTGTCAATTTTTTTGAAAAATATTGGATGCTCTGTTTCTCAAAAACTGAATTACCGTTTTTGGCATTTTGGCCTTTACCTTCGAAACAGTTGAACCTGCGTTGGCCAATAACTAATCAGCACGTCTCCTTATCAATAGAAATCGAATAATTCAAATCGGTTGATCCGTGTTTTCGAAATCGACATGAATAATTAAAAAAAAATTAGATTTGTATTGATGGGGAGACATGCTGATTAGTTTTTGGCACAGACAGGTCCAGCCGTTCCGAAAAATGGTAGTTGAGTTTCGATATTTCCTCTCTGAAACAGCTACGCAGTGCTATTGCTTTGAAAAAAGTTCATAATTTTCAGAAAATTTCAATATGCATATAAAAAAATTTAAGCTTTTTATAAAATGTAATTTTCAGTACGAGAAGTTTCAGTAATTTGCCTTGGAACAACGCTATGCGTCACTAGTTTAATTTTTTTTCGGCGTTATAAGCTTGGAAGTGCACAATTTTGTCGTCTTAAGATGGCTCGAGATCTGAAGAATATATTTGCTCTTGCAAATGCATTCTTCTGGCGCAGGCGCACCAACTTCAGTTTGTGTTTGATTGTCGTTCGAATGACTTCGTTAGCTCCGATAAATTGATAAGTAGTCAATTATTTTCTATAATAGTGGATGATTATTTCTTGAATTATCATATCATTAATTTTTGTTGATTAGTGCGTTGAAAATTTTGTGTTTAAACTTTTAGTTACGTTTAGTTAAGATTAGTTTAAATTAGAAGTAGTATTGATATTTAGTTTGTTCGACCGCCATTAATAGGCGGTAACATTAATTGATAATATCATAATAGTGAAATAGTATAATATTGAAATAAAATATAGTGAATCAAGACAATTTATTAAAAATGGACATTCCAAGCACGTCCGGAAAAATTTCTCGCACAACAATGAGCGATAAAAGTAAGGAGCCAAAACCCTTTTCTCTAAATTTAAAATTTGAGGATTTATTTCAAGTTGTAGATGGTAAAGTTAAAAAGAGAAAGGATTATAAAAAAAGGGTTTTTAAATTGTTTCCGAAAGGCTGCTATATACCCTTGCGATCTAAACTTTAATTATGCTCGTGTTAATAAAAGAAGCGCTAGTATTTCGTGTTATTGTCCTAAGAGTAGTAAATATATGGAAGTTAAAAATATAGGAAATTGTATGATATTTAACACTCATATAAAATTTGATAGAGTTTTAGTTAAACCGAGTGGTATTATTAACCATGGTACAGTTTCTGAACCAATACCAAGGCATAGGCAAAAAAGGAGAATGGATGGATATTCGAGAACCAAATTGAAACAAAGAAAACCAGCAGCAGATCGTGCTCAACAATTTAATGAAGAAAGAAGAGAATCTCCTGAATCGTATATTACATTTGGTAACAACGTGAACGATCTTTTTTCTGACACTCGAATGCGCGAAATTGTAGATTGCATGCGCCAAGCGAAATATAAAGACACCAACGAAAATGTTTTTTCTTTGCAAACCATAATTGACATAGTCGAATTATGGGAATACCAGAAGAAAGAACTCCTAAAACCTCCACATGAGCGAACATTACACGGTGGCATAACTGTATATTTAAAAAAGATATAACCTTATACAAATGATGTATCAAGTAAGTATTTTTAAAATAACAGTATTGAATTTTATAGCCAGTGTAAGAGAATTTATGACTATGCAGGTTTCAAAATCTTGTCCCAAAGAGTCCATTTTATAAAGAATTTCTTAAAATTAAACGTATTATTATTGTCCAGGTTTCTTAAGACGAAGACGAATTCTTGAAAAACAGTGAAAGGCAGTGGCGTTACATTTTTTTTTTTTTTTTTTTTAGAAAACAACCGGGGCCATAACAGCACAATAGAAGATGTGGGAAAGGCAATGGAAATGTGGATTGAAAAATCTAAAAATTTAATAAAGTACCAGAAATTTCCACCCTTCAAATCGATGTCTTACGATTTGACTCAGAGGTTTTAATAGGTATGCATTCAATTCACAATTGGTTTTAATTTTTATATCTACAATAGAACAAAATTTAGAATTTTGGCGTGCATTAATATAATCATGTCATAATATAAAGTGTTATAATACAGTATTATAAATAGATCATCAGGTATAAAATATTTAACGCCACGTAATAAATTTAATTCTCATTGGATTTTAGTGTTAATAGATACTGATATAAAACAGTTCAGTGTTATCCATTCTGTTCTCGATAAAATGAACTTTTAAAATATTCTGTGATAATTGTTTAACTTTCGAGGGACAAATGAAATGGAAAAATCTTACTATATGTTTCTCTAAAGAGACTGATGATCATAGTAGTGGCCTTTTTATAATGAGAAATGGATGCTGTTTATTAAATAAGTCGTTCATTTTGAAACTGGCTTAAGTTCATTTATCATTAATTTGAGATGCTTGAGGCTTTGCCTTTTTACAAAAAATAAATATATGTAAGATATATTTTTGACTTGCAATGTTAAATTGTATTTAATTATAATATAATTATATTAAAAGGAATTAGTCAGGCTTTCAAAATAAAAATTTGTTTTGTTACAAAACGTAAAAAAGCTTAATTTATATATTTAGATTATAGAAATAAAGTTAGTAACATCTTATTTGTTAATATTTCCATCATGTGTCGATATTTTAGTGATGTGATGCTTCATATACTTTTATATAACAATGGTAATACAAAATTCTCAATTATATTTTTCATTACTTCCAATGTATTTGAAGCCATTTTATTTTTCCCTGTTGGTATTTTTGGATCTTTCATAAACTGTTTCTTTCAAGAATCTTGTTCATATGAAATCTGCTTGTTTCATTTTATTTAGTATGAAAGTATTACCTTTTCTGTATTTTTTAATTATAATTATCCTGATACTAAAAATCAAGTTAAGAATTCTTGTTATTTCATTCTTTCCCATGGGTTTAATAATCTCTATAAATCGAATGTTATTTTTTAAATTTCATTTTAATATTAAAATGTAATTTAAATTACCTTCATCAATGATGCTTTCAACATTCAAGTCAATAAAAAGTGAACTTATAAGTTACGTATAGATTACTTTTAAAATTAGGATTTTTAGTATTTATATTATTTTGAAAATTTATATATTATAAAATTTCTAAACGTACTAACATAAGTACATTTCGATACCAAATTAATTTATTAAAAAAATAGCATAAATTATAAAAAATATAACAAGTTCTAACATGAAAAAAGATGAAAATGGACTTAGGTCACTTCCAAAATAATACTTAATTAAACGGCTCAAATTCTATAGAAGGTAGGAAAATTTTAATAACATATTTCTTAAAAAAATATTTTACCTTTGGGTGGAATATGTTCAATATGTTGTAGTTCACACAGATCTCAACAGATTGATCTACACACATTATAAATGTATCGAGGGGGTTAAAAACTTTGGATTTAAAAAAGTGAAAGGGATAATTTGGGATAATGGTAGGGGTAAACAACCGGTGAAAATTTAAACTTGTATGCATTTTTTAATTCGCCATTATGAAAATTTAAATTAAAAGAAAATTGATTTTAAAATTTAGAAAAAGTTTCATGTAATTTTTATTTTGGAACAAAAAAAAAAAGAAAATTGGTCCCAAAATTTAAAAAAAAATTAGGGCTGGACAACCCTTAATAACAGTAAATAGTAAATAGTGTTTTGAAGTAAAAAAAAAGAGTGCGCGTAAGGATCACACGCAATTGAAGTAATACTTTTGTTATTGTATGAGTAGGCAATTAAGATAAAAATAAAAAAAAACATCATATTTGGGTTTAAAAAATCATTTATTAATAATGATATAACATTAATAACACCGTTTGAAACGACAGCAATAGGTTAACTTTTGTCATATTTCATATATGATATCATATCTATATAGAATAGATTTTGCTTTATAAACTTTGTAAATTTCTGGAGAAAACTGCATCAATAGTCGTACCATATCTTGTTGTTGATTCAAATGGAGAATTATTCATTGTTAAATTAAATTTATCACCTAAAAATCAATTAATGGTCGAGATTCTTCTGAACGAAAATTGACATTGAAATCTCCAGCAAGAATTAAAGGTATCTCGTGGTGATAATTTTTTAATATTCGAGAAATTTTTCGTTGGGTTTTATTGGGAGAAATGTAAAAGTAAACTATAATAATTAATGTTTGATTATATATGTTCACACAGTGGACAGCTGCAATATTACCTAGTTGTGTAATTTCATTAGGAATATCCAGCAACATAGTTGGCTCTGCTTTTCGACCTGATTATTTGAATCAATATTCAGAAAACCATTATTAAGAATTTGTTTTTGAGATTTATTTAATATTCTTAAGTCACTTTGAAACCAAAGTCAATCACACACAAAACATGCATAGCCAAAGCTATCATTTGTAAATTGTTTTTCAAACAATTTTCGTGCATTGCTAAACTAATTGAAGACTTTGTATGGAAGTTCAAATACTTCACTCGACATTTAATTACTAATATAATAAATTAAAATGATACTTTATAGCCTTCATAAAAGAAAAACCTGTAGGCTTTCTCTAAATTTCCAAAAGTGACTTAGACATATGAGATGTATTTTTGGCATATTATACTAAATCTATGTTGCTTTAATATTTTTTATTTTCTATAAAAATCTAAATATTTATTATGTTGACCAACGCCTAAAGAAATATTGTTTTTACAATTTCACTAATCATGTAATTGTGTTTGAGAAACTTCATGTAATTAAAATTAACATGCATTTATGAAGCAGCTGTAGTATCTGTCTTGGATATGAAAATATTGTTCATTTTAATAATCTCAAAAATATAGTAACCACGAATAATACAAATTACTTCAATAAACTTACGTTTCTTACACGGCACATGATTTTTTATTTGTTTTATTAATTTGTTTTATAATACAATCAAAGAATTCTCTTTGACGAGGACCATTCACAATCGAACCGTATCTCATCGAGAGCGAATGACGAATAATTGGCACTCGACTCGAGCGTAACGCTCTTCTGTTGCATTTGCGCAGATTTACTCCCTAGTAGCGCCTAAAAAAATTTTACTTCAAAAGTGTTGTATGTATTTTTCAATTCCACATTTAATAAAATTAAAATAAAGAAAATTGATACCAAAACTAATTAAGGATTGGACAATCTTTAATAAAAATATATGGCTGTTTTTCAAAGTAAGATTTAGATTTTTTCTTCAAACTCAAAAATTTAACTAAACTTATGTCAAAAATATTGAATGACTGACCGCGCGATAAAAAAATGATCCAATTACTAAAATGCCTATAAAAAAATAGGGGTTGTTGATAGAAATGTAAAAATTCAGGGTTGTATGTATTTTTTAAATCCACATTAAAAACAAAAAAAAATCATCCGAAATTTAAAAAAACAAATTAAGGGTGAACAACCTTTATCACTTAGGGGTATGAAAAATAGATTGTTACCGATTCTCAGATCTGCTGAATATGCATACGAAATTTGATAATAATCGGTAAAGCCGTTTCGGGGGAGTACGGGAACGATCTTTGTGTCACGAGAATATTATATATAAGATTATATTCTCGAAACATTAATGAATAACTTGTGCAACCGAATTGATTAAAAATATGTTAAATATTAACCTATTAACAATAAAATTCATGCTCCTAGAGAATAGTTACCCCCTTAAATGTGATACATGGTATAAACATGAAAGGAATTCTCATCTCTTGTTTATTGACTGCAAAAATAATTGTAATGCAGAATTAATAGCATTCAGCGTTTTTGGCAACGATTTGGGATGTGTTTTAGGTGACTTCATTTTGAGTGTGATCCCAGTATAGCTTTACATTCCTCATCAGCAGGTTCCGTGGGGAACCCAAATTTCAAATATTTTTGTGTTCTATGTGAACTACGTACAGATAATAATACTTATCCCAAAATAAAGTTGGCCAAAGGTCGTCTTATTAGACAATATGTAAAAAGACCGCCACCCTTTCTTAATAGTTTAATATATTGAATATACACAAATATAATGAGCTGAGCTCCATTATTTCAATAAGTGGTAATATGTGGTGATTTAAACTAATTATATATCTCATGTTTACCATGTTCAAATTATGTACAGTAATTAAAATGCATTAAAATACAAATTATGTGTTTACAAAATCTCTACTAATTTATGGAAAAAAATCATAAAATGAGATATATCAAAATGCAAAAATACAAAATACTTAGAAAAATCTTCATTAATTTTTGAAGAAAATCATAAAATGCAATCATTTTTCAATTTATAAGGTAAACAAAATGCCAAGAAATACCAAATATTAGGTCTATTGGAAACTTCTGTCCGTTTGTAGAATAAAACAAAATACATTTTTTTTCTTTTGCTAATTAAGTAGTTAACTTTATTGAATAATATAATTGCCATTATTATTAATGATTTCTTGATAGTGAGACAGTGTGATGATTATTTGCATATCTTATTCTTGAAAAAAAAATTATTCTTAGATGCACAAAATTGAACCAGTTCTTCTTTAACTTCTTCATTTTTTGACTTTTTGGCCCTCATAAAATTTTGTAAGTATAACAACAAGTGATAATTAGAGGTTGTATGTTATCCACTATTTATCCCCAGTTATCATGCGACTCAAAAGGGCTCGATTTTGTTCCGAGTAAGCAAATATGTGCATATGACAACTCAATCATCCAAATTTTTCTGATCTTTCAATGTGGCATTCGGAATCATATCTTTCGAATATGGTCAGAAATCGTGTGTTGAGCTGAATTAATTAAAAAGCCGATTTCCGATGTTTTCAGAAAAAGAACTTGCTCCAAATTGCAAGAACAACATTGTCATCGATCACAGATAAACAGAAAGGTCGAAATCACTTTTTGCATTTTCTATCAGAAAC